CTTCAACTATAAAACACCTCACTTGACCTATTTGTCTCTACACACTTGCATCTATGACGAGGAAATCTAAATACGGATATCCACAACTAACATATACTGAGGGAAAGAAATAAGGGATCACATGAAAGGACAAGTGGTCCCATATTTTTTTCCAGGTTTCTTCATAAGGTTTATATCACATAGCTTGTGAAGAAACCTGGACAAAAATAAGGGAACACTTGTGCTATGTGATCCCTTATTTTCTTCCCTCAGTATATATACCCAACCGTGTACATATAAGTGCAGTCTCATTCCTGACTTCCCATTGTGCCGACTGTTGCATGGACACCAGATCATCCCTGACTATATACGCCATATTACACTGACATGCTGACTGTTGCATGGACACCAGATCATCCCTGACTATATACGCCATATTACACTGACATGCTGACTGTTGCATGGACACCAGATCATCCCTGACTATATACGCCATATTACACTGACATGCTGACTGTTGCATGGACAGCAGATCATCCCTGACTATATACGCCATATTACACTGACATGCTGACTGTTGCATGGACACCAGATCATCCCTGACTATAATTACACTGACATGCTGACTGTTGCATGGACACCAGATCATCCCTGACTATATACTTATATTACACTGACATGCTGACTGTTGCATGGACACCAGATCATCCTGACTATATGCCTATATTACACTGACATGCTGACTGTTGCATTGACACCAGATTATCCCTGACTATATACGCCATATTACACTGGCATGCTGACTGTTGCATGGACACCAGATCCTCCCTGACTATATACGCCATATTACACTGACATGCTGACTGTTGCATGGACACCAGATCATCCCTGACTATATACGCCATATTACACTGACATGCTGACTGTTGCATGGACACCAGATCATCCCTGACTATATATGCCATATTACACTGACATGCTGACTGTTGCATGGACACCAGATCATCCCTGACTATATACGCCATATTACACTGACATGCTGACTGTTGCATGGACACCAGATCATCCTTGACTATATACGCCATATTACACTGACATGCTGACTGTTGCATGGACACCAGATCATCCCTGACTATATACGCCATATTACACTGGCATGCTGACTGTTGCATGAACACCAGATCATCCCTGACTATATACGCCATATTACACTGACATGCTGACTGTTGCATGGACACCAGATCATCCCTGACTATATACGCCATATTACACTGACATACTGAAATAGTGTTCTGTCACTCATTTGCTTCCACAACTGTAAACTTGTCACTTATTTTAACCTTCAATTCAGTGCACTATCAACGGTGCACTATCAACGGCCCCTTATGTACCCATGTTTGGAATCAAACCCTTCCCTCGGCATAGGTGGATCCAGAGGGGGTCTACAGGGCCTAGATTTTCGAAGCTCTCTTTGCGCTAAGATAGTCGTAAGTTAATGTTAATGTATGGTACTTACGACTATCTTAGCGCTAAGAGAGCTTCGAAAATATAGGCCCAGGGGTGCAAACTCTCATGAAAACGGGTGATAATGAATTGTGCATCCCCCTTTCTTAGAAAGCTGTATTGGCCCTAGTCTGTCGTACAGACCCTGAAGCAAATATATCCAAGAAAGCCCACGCAAGTCTAGAACATGTGGCAAGTCTAGATTTCCTCAGCTTCAGAAAATGAAGAAAGCCTCAGGGCTCCTTTTCATTATATTATATTTTTTTTTACTATGAACTTTTTTCAGTAAAATATGTTCATTTCAGAGACTAGTTGTTAGTCTATATCGGCCCCTGCTGGGCACCGTATGAAATTGAATTACAAAATAACCATGATAGTAATCCAACTGGTGCTACGGTTGTCGCATGGTTCAAAAGCAGACCTGCGTGAACACATGTTCTGAAGAATGTGGAAGTGAAGTAGCTGTTCCGCTTCCTCATCCCGACATGAAATATCTTCATTATCAGCACCAGGGGGTTTCAGGGGAGAGAACAGCTGGCGAAAATGCTTACACTCCATGTTGCTGAAACGTCCATGGTTACTGAACACCTAGTGCTAAGCAACCCCCCATGTGAGTTCCGACCTGGCGAGACCACGTGATCTGTATGATTGACTTCTGTGTAGCTACAGATAACTCTTATCAATGACACGCCATAGAGTCATTCAATACTTGCTTTAGAGGCATGAGGTCAGATCAACATTGCTTTTCTTTTTAAGAAATCTTTGATTAAATGAGTATCATTATTTTGCATGCCAAATATCTTTTGAAGGGAGACACAATAATCATAAGCTGTACTTTTTGTATTAATGTAAAATATAATTTCTGGGACAGACACTGAAAACACTGTGTAGTTAAAATATAGTCGTAGTTTAAAGAACAATTTGAACCATGAGATGAAGAGTACAACACAAGGATCCAAGGTGCTTACTTCCAATGTCTGAGGCAATTACGCTGCACTATTGGTGTGCATACACTTTATGAGATTTATCCTATCGTATCAAATTCATGGGAAGGAGAACAGATTATTGGATAAATATAATGTTGGTTCAATTACCAATGTAGTAATTCAAAGCAGCAGTAATTAACAGTGGCAGTAATTGATAATAATAGTCAATTTATAATTTATAAAGTGCATTAATCCATGCACGGTGCATGCTCTAAGTGCACAAAGTAGTTGAGACAGAGAGTCAGGCAGTTTGAAACCGATAGGTCTTAAGGTGAGATTTGAAGAAATCAAAGGTTGGAGACTGTTTAAGATGTAAGGGGAGATCACTCTACTCCGTTGCTGCATTCAAAGCAAAAGATTGATCAATCCACATGAAGAAGAATGCACTACTGATACAACATGGTATTGAAGTCCAGTGTAAAACATAGTCCAACAGGAATGAATCTACTCACACACTGTGGTGCTGCCCTCAGACAAACCATGAATCAAACTCCAACTAACAACTTCCAGGGAAATAGGGACCAAATCTGTGCTTTGAACCACAGTGCCACCGTGGCCTATTTGCCATACTACCTAACATGTCCTTTCAGAGGCTCGTTCTCTACACTACAGAACATGTATTGTCAGTAGTCTGTTGACCACCCAGTTTAACATGTCTTATCATAGGCCTGTTGAACTACACATGAAATTAGTATGAAATCAATATTTGTCAAAATTATTCAGAAACCGTTCTCTGACCAATACATCTTTGGGCATGTGCTCTTTGATGTGACAAGTACTGACAATGTTAATAGATAAGATTGTCAACCAAACTTGAGCTTAAGACTGTCAGCTGGATCTGGTTCAAATCGATCAATATTTGTCATCTACAGGACTAGCCCCACCCAGCACTTCCCTAGTCATGTGACCCCCACTTGATTCTGTGCGGGCTGGTGATCAAGCTCCATTTGGTCATGAAGATCCATTATCCATAACCTCTATATGGTCAATATTTGTTTCAGTTAGCACCACCAAACATTCTAACAGCCAGCCAGACACTTGGAGGTCCATTTGTTCAGCTCTACTGCTTGTTATTTATTACCTACCAAGAGCTTGTTAGTACCTATCCAGAGGCCTGATATTACCTATCAAACGCTTGTTACCACCTATCAACTGCTAGGTGTTACTTGCCCAATAGCTTTAAAGGACCTACTTGTTATTACCTGTTATTACCCACCCAACTGCTTGTTATTGCCTACCAGCTGCATATTAAAAATTTCCCAACTGTATGTTATTACCTACCAACTGCTTAATATAACTGCCCAATTGCTTGTAATTACCTACCATAGGTTTGTTGTTACCTACCATAGGCTTGTTGTTACCTACCATAGGCTTGTTATTACCTACCATAGGTTTGTTGTTACCTACCCAGTTGCTTGTTATTGAGAATGGTTAAAACTTCTCATTGAAAATACTGAGAATGCTAACACCTTACAGATATTGTTCCTTCAAGCAGCATTTCCCATATACTACATACTGGTCTGCACTGAGCAGTGGAGGGTCAGCTGATTTAACCGCCATTGTTAGTGTAACAGCATTTAATTCTTCATTCCAACCTGGGAAGCTGGATAAGTGTGATAATCCCTACAACTCTCAACAGATGTGTACATGGAGAGTAAGTCTAGTACAATCTAGACAACAGTTAGCATACACTGGATAAAGCTTAATAAAGAATTTACACTGTCACAGTTCAAGGTTAAAAATCCTGCTAATGGTGATTCTAAAAGGATATAAGAGAATACATATTTTACCGTCTATGAAGTCTAGATTGGTGTCATCTGATCTAGCTACTCCAGTCTGGTGTCTACCTTAATGATATTATGCAGCTATGCTGGACTAATGGTGAGGCATTGTTTATATATTCTACACTGGTGTCTACTGGTGAGGTAGTGTTCATATATTCTAAATTATTACTGTTATTTAGATTTGGCGGAACAAGACCATGGTGGTAACTGGGTCCAGGGGAATTAATTATACCAGAAGAAGGACATAACGGACAATGAAGGATGAACCAGGATGCCTTTGTGTTCATCAGTTAACACATAGCCTGTTGAAGTGTGCAAATGTATATTCAGTATCTGACACTGGTTAGAGTTAGTGAGTGAATCGAGGTTAAAAGTCAGTCCTTAGTATTTCAATTACAGCCATCAGTTGAACTGATGTGGATGGCAAGGAGAGTGAGTGAGTGAGTTTAGTTTTACGCCGCACTCAGCAATATTCCAGCTATATGGCAGCGGTATGTAACTTATCGAGTCTGGACCGGACAATCCAGTGATCAACACCATGAGCATTGATCTGCGCAATTTGGAACCGATGACATGTGTCAACCAATTCAGCGAGCCTGACCACCCGATCCCGTTAGTCACCTCTTACGACAAGCATCAGTATTCTAACCTGGATCTTCACGGGTGGCAAGGAGAGATGAGGATGGGCGTTAAAGGGTATGGGTGGATATGGGTGGATATGGGTGGATATGGGTGGATAGAAACATACCTGAAGCAGGAGCCTCTCGTCGCCCCAGATGACCACCTTCGTCCAGTCGATGACCTCAGCGAAGGGCAGCTCCCATCCATTACTAAGCAATACTGGAACACAGGCAGCTTGAAGAGCTTCCAAAAACCTGAAACACAACCAAACATTGTCACCTCCAAACAATCATTCAGAGTGAGTGAGGTGCAAGCTTGTGGTAGTTCCAAACACCTTCCACAGTTCTACAGACATTTGCCTGTCAACAAACACTGTAGTTCTCCACATATAACACTCACTAATACAGTTATTGGAAATGACTAACTGACTGACTGAGTTTGGTTTTACGCCGCTTTTAGCAATATTCCAGCAACATCACGGCAGGGGACACCAGAAATGGGCTTCACACATTGTACCCATTTGGGGATTCGAACCCAGGTCTTCGGCGTGACCAGCCAACGCTTTAACCACTAGGCTACCCCACAGCCCCGGAAATGACTAAAACTACCACAGCAATTAGGGACTTTCCCATAAGCAAAACAAGACCCGCTTCTTTAAATCTAATTACTCGGTATTCAATAATACTTGACAAATGACAGACAACCATACTCTTTCTACAACTAAAAACAGATCACCTCTCTCTTCAATTCTACAAAACACCATCATGGCCAAATCGTATTTTTCTATTTGACAAAACCAATAAACAGGATTCAATTCATCACTGCCTAGCTTCCTTCCAACGCATTTATACAGCTCTAGCTTGAACCAAACTTCCCAGCATTATACTGAATAAGGTTTTACTTAAAACACAGCTCTAATACATCTTCATTTCAAGATGTGGACGTGATATCCATCTATCTCAAAAAGAATCCTACTTGTGCCACGCAGTTGAGGAATCCTTTTCAAAAACTGACAAAAAGCCTTATCAATCACACCAGCCACTACCATAGTCCTCCACAGCTGAGCCGCACTAATCTGATAAGGAGCATCATTTAATCAAGGCGATTAGACTCGGCTATGTACACGTAGCCATCTCAAGGTGTCAACAGTTGTAAGCTGTGACAGGAATATAGTATCTTCATTATCACAGGTCCCCCTTGGTGCTTGGTACTGACACTGGACAAGGTTGGTTCAGCCACGTGTCCACGTGGGTATGTTTAATATACATATAAAAGGAAGGACATGTCTCCGACTCCATTGATGTCGCAGACTCATGAATACATATTCAGAAAGATGAATTCACTTGCATGATAATGTGCGGCAAAACACAGTTGGGTGCTATTATGAAGTTATCGATGTTTGCTGCATACACGTCAACAGCATATTACCATTGCAACATTGTGTAGAATTCCCAAATGTATACAAGCAATCATGGAGACGAAATGATGGTCAGTGTAAATATTAACAAGTTGGGCTTCCCTGGTCCTGATCATAGTTAAATGCCTCAGATTAACACATTCGGAATATCAGTCTTGTGATGTTGTTATGTACCTTTATTCATACAACAGAGTGCTGGCATGTGTTATTGTCAACAATATGAGCTAAAGTGAATTAAAATACATTACCCACATGTCAGTAACTTCAGCCATGGAGTTCAAAGTAAATATTTGATCAATGATAGAGAACAACTAGTCTCGAGTTTCCAATGAAACATATTTCATTCAGTGTAAATGAGGGGCAAAAGAGTGGTGAAACTTGTGTGAATGAATAGTTGAACATCAATGACACCTAGTGTTCATTAAAAGTGAGTGAGTGAGTGAATATGGTTTTATGCTGCTTTTGCAATATTCCAGCAATATCACGCAGGGGACACCAGAAATTGGCATCACATATTGTACCCATGTGGGGAATCGAACCCGGGTCTTCGGCATGACGAGCGAAAGCGAACGATTTAACCACTAGGCTACCCCACTGCCCTGTTCATGAAAAGGGTAAACATAAAAAGAAAAGAATGTGTGTCCCTCCCAGCTGTACAGCAGTACTCATTATGTACAATGTAAACAAACCAGACAATCAAGTGATGGGTCAGACTGTGTTTTTGATTTTGATTTTGCTGAAACTAAAAATATGTCAGACTACTTTTGGCTTTTAAACCTGAGGGCAATATTAGTGCTGAATTTATACGAACAAGACATATCTGCTCAACTGCAGTCAACTGTATCTTATTGTCAGATACACCTGCAGTGATGAACAATCTACATCCTTCAGTCATCAATACTGAACTGATATCAACTAAAAACACACATCAAACTATGCTCCTTGAGTTTTCTTATTTTATATTTAACAACATCCAGGACGGTGGAGTAGCCTAATGTGTTAAAGCGTTCACTCCTCACACTGAAGACCCGGGTTCGATTCCCACATGGGTACAATGTGTGAAGTCCATTTCTGGTGTCCCCCGCTGTGATATTGCTGGAATATTGCTAAAAAAGGGATAAAACCATACTCACTCACTCACTCTTAACAAGATCCAAAACTGACTCTTTCAGTATATACAGTATAACGGTACATTTAAGTGGAATCACATATCTGATTATCCCTATTAAAAGTTGAGTAGTATAATTCAATACAAAATCCATCACCATGGTGAAAGTGCCAATGAAATCATTCCTTTAGCTTTTGAAAAAACGTTTACAAACTTTCCAAACACCATATTTCCACTTTCAATAAATCCTGTTTGTTTTAAACATATTTTATTCATGAGAAAAGGATTGGGTACAAGTTATACAACTTAGAACACCCTCTCCGTAGTATTTACATAGTATTATTTACATTCATTCTACAAGATGGACAGAGAAGAACAGAACAGAAATATGGGATAAAGTGGAACAATTGCAACAATTTAGAAAATCGTTTTGAATGACAAATATATGTTTGAACAGTTTTAAATATGTTTTGATTTATGTGAACAGTCAGATCTGCATTGCCATGTAATAGTAACGCATAGGTTATATCCACATTTGTAATACTGCGTAAATTAGTCATCATGGTAGTTCTCTGTACTGTATATAATTGACAGTCAAATAGGTAATGATAAGAATTTTCACAAACATTTCCACAAGAACAACTTGGGTTATCTCTTAAACCAGCATGGAATAGATCATAATTCAACTGACTACAGGTGTAACGTAGTTTTGTAAGGATGATGTTAGTGATTCTAGGTCCAGAATCAAAGTATTGAGGAGCAGTTTTATGTTTTATAACAATATTCGATATAAAAGAATTCAATGACTCGCTTATTCTCACTCCAACTGGAAATTCATTCCACATTCTAATTGTGGATGAAAATTAAGAATCATACGAAAATTTTAATCGCGAGAAAGGAAGTGAGACATCATCAGTTGCGAAGATTATAGCTACATTTAGATGCTACGTCCCCAGGAACAAGATCAATAAGGTACGATGGTGCCATATTATTCTGTATTTTGTAAAAAAGGCGAAGTTTACACTTTCTCCTACGTTCTGCTAAAGATTCCCAATCAGTTTCATAAAACAGATGTTCATGATGAGTATATTTAGGTAAACCTGTTACAATTCTTGCTGCTTCTAATTGGAGTTGTTCTAATTTATTTGTTTGATATTGAGCACATCCATCCCATACTTCACACGCATATTCAAAATGGGGTCTTATGAACATTACGTAAATCCTGTCTAAAAACAAAGACTACGCATTAAACAAGCTACAAGACATCTGGACACAAACAACAGGCAGACAGACAACTGATGTAAAAGAAACACCCCCACCCCCCGAAGTTTACCTGTGTGGCCACCCAGCGGACATGACAGTAGGTGTAACCACTACCAGCCGATACACACAGAGAACTAAAGAGTCCATGCAGACAGCGTTTGTCTGGTGCACTGAGTCAATATTAACACAACCAGGTCCACAGTGCTGTATATGAATGAGTGGCACATACTGAAAGGAGACACTGGGTGAAGTAGGAATGTACATTGTACTGTTTGCAACTTGTCTCATTCACCGGCGGTGGTTTACGTGTGTCAAAGGGGTTTTAGTAGAATTGGAGTTGATGTTTTAGAATTAGAAGGGAAATGACGTGTACAGTGTTGACATATGGGAACATACGAGCTGACATTTAGTCAGAGTTCGTCTAATTATAGCAATGTGCAAAATAGGTACAAATTGTAAGATTATCACAAGATACATCCATTTAGTAGAAAAAATGTCAACGTTTCTCATTATGTTTTAGAAAGCATCCATCAATTAATTGTAAGTTCCTCCTACTTTCACAGAAACATCAAAGGTCACAATTACCTGTCATCAAAAGGCGTTAGCTCCTTATGTGTTAACCCTTGCAAAACAAAGTCAATGGTTTCATCGTTCTGCTCAAGAAATCAAAGACACTGTCACACATGGAAAGACACATGCGTATAGAAATGAACGATTTCATCAGGCTCACTTTACCTGAGTCAAAACCTGTTAACATCCTCTATCATACAAGACTCGACAAGTGAGTATGGTTTAATACTGCTTTTGACAACATTCAAAGCACTTGTGCAATTAAGTATTTTAGCCTTTAAGAATCCGGTATATGCTTACCTTCTTGGTCCAGTCTATTGGATTATCATAAACCATAAAATATAACTACTTTCCTCCATAATTCTACACAAAATGCTGTTTAAAGCTAGTCTGCACATGTATTTGTTCCTGTGCTGACCAGACAGTGTCACATGTCTCCTACACATGCAGAAGCCAGTACATGTGTCAGAGGGTGTCACAGAAGCCAGTACATGAGGGTGTCACAGAAGCCAGTACATGAGGGTGTCGAAGAAGCCAGTACAAGAGGGTGTCACAGAAGCCAGTACATGAGGGTGTCACACAGAAACCAGTACATGAGGGTGTTGCAGAAGCCAGTACATGAGGGTGTTGCAGAAGCCAGTACATGAGGGTGTCACAGAAGCCAGTACATGAGGGTGTTGCAGAAGCCAGTACATGAGGGTGTCACAGAAGCCAGTACATGAGGGTGTCACAGAAGCCAGTACATGAGGGTGTTGCAGAAGCCAGTACATGAGGATGTTGCAGAAGCCAGTACATGAGGGTGTTCCAGAAGCCAGTACATGAGGGTGTTGCAGAAGCCAGTACATGAGGATATTGCAGAAGCCAGTACAAGAGGGTGTTGCAGAAGCCAGTACATG